ATATAAATATATATATATAGGCATGGAGAGAGTTTATGAAAGTAGCATGATAGTTTACAGGGAGTGACGGAATGGAAAGAGCAAGGCTCTGGGCCAAACAGGGGTGTAAATCTAGAGGCTGCCACTTCAGTAACTGGCCACCCTTCGGCAGATCACTTAATCTGTCTGAGCTTTGGCTGCCAAAAGGGGTAAAGTAAAGATATTGCCTATCTCCTGGGGCTGCTTTGAAGATTGAATGAAGTGGTGTATGTAAAATGTCCCACATGGCTGCCAAATGGTAGGTGCTCAATAAACATTAGTTTTTCTCTCTCCCTACAAAGACAAGATGCTTCATCTGAGTATTTTTCATGCTAACAGTGATTGGTTATGATGTTAATTCTTAGACTAGCCACTACCCACATGGTTCCTGCAGTTAAGATAAGTGGCAAAAGTCCACCATGGGCAAGAGTAGCTGCACAGAGATGAGTGTAGAGAAAAGGAGTGTTTGAAGGAGATCTAATTAAGAAGGTGTTTTTCTTGATGACTTAGAATTTTAAATTATAAGTTTTTATGAAGAAATGATGTTCAAGTGCAGAATACATGTTTGTTCTCTATTGTGAAGAATATTTTTAATATATAAGAATTTAGTAAAAAGAAGTTTTCTGGTTACCTAGTGCCGCTCTGACAAGAATATACCACAAATGGACTAATCTCGCCAGGAACTGAACTCTTTGGAAGTTAATTCAAGAAGGTGAAAGACACTTTCTTCCGAAAGATCTGGGAGCTAGGCATTCTGCATTTGTGGAGGTCCTCCTCTTCCTCTTCCCGGTTCTGACTTCAGGATCTTGGACCTATCTCGATAGCTTTTGCAGCTTGTTCTTTTGTTTCAAATTCCACAAAGGCAAATCCCTTTGGATCTCCAGTAGATTTATAATGTGGGATGCTTATATAAACAAGATTGCCACATTTTCCAAAATACTCTTTCAATCCAGCTGTGATTAACATTTTTGTTATGATAGCGGTATGAATATGTAATAGTCTTTGGGGATTCTATATTATTCTTTAGTGTTGCATAGTATTCCATTGTGTGTGTGTACCATAGTTTGGTTATCCATTCTTCTGTTGATGTGCATGTAGGTTGTTTCCATCTTTTGGCTATTGTAAATAGTGCTGCGATGAACATGGGTGTGCATATATATGTTCTTGTCCTGGCTTTCACTTCTTTAGGATATATACTTAGTAATGGGATTGCTGGGTCAAATGGTATTTGTAATTCTAGCTTTTTAAGGAATCACCATATTGTTTTCCACAGTGGTTGTATACTTTTACAGTCCCACCAGCAATGTATGAGAGTCCCAATCTCTCCACATTCTCACCAGCATTTGTTCTTTTCTGTCCTGTTATACTTTGCCATTAGTGTTGGGGTGAGATGGTATCTCATTGTTGTTTTGATTTTCATTTCTCTGATGGCTAATGATTGTGAGCATTTCTTCATGTATTTGCTGGCCCTCTGAATATCCTCTTTGGTGAAGTGTGTATTCATGTCTTCTGACCATTTTTTAATTGGACTGTTAATCTTTTTGTTGTTGAAGTGTTGGAGTTTTCTATAAATTTTAGAGATAAGTCCCTTGTCAGATATGTAATTATTGATAAGTATGGATTTGTTAGGAGCTCTGATGGCGTAGTGCCTAAAACATTTGACTGCTAACCAGAAGGCTGGTGGTTGAAACCCACCAGCCACTCCATGGAAGGAAGACTAGGCATTCTACTTCCATAGTGATACCACCTTGGAAACCCAAGTAGGGGTCAATATGAGTTGGATCCAACTTGAAGGCAATGACTTTAGGGAGCTCTGGTGGCATAGTGCCTAAGGCATTTGATTGCTAACCACAAGATTTGTTGGAAGAGAATTTTCCAGTGGCTGGTAGTTCAAACCTACCAGCCATTCCTCGGAAGGAAGATTGGGCAATCTATTTCCATAGTGATATTGGCTTGGAAACCCAGGGAGGGGTCACTTTGGGTCAGATCTGACTCGATGGCGGTGAGTTTGATTTGTTTTGGTTTTTATGAATTTGTTGCTGTCATTTTGTTACGTGCTTTTTTGTGGTGCTCATTGCTTTGTTCCATATAATTTTCTGTGCTAAGCTTGTTTTATTTATGAATTGTTACCACTTCCTTCATTGCTATTGTTTTAGTATTTGCTAAATATTTGTGCTTGTCCTCTTTTTTATTTTGATGTGAAGGTTTATCATTTTTCTTTGAGGTTACCCTGTGAGTTATAATTTTCTTCCCAAGTTTAGAACAGTCTGTTCTATATTG